ATGGTAAACAACTTAATATTGCAATTCTATCTAAAAAAATGTAAATATGTTTGAAACTTTGTTAAAATGGGAGAACATGACAAATAGTACACATTGACTGCTATGAAGAGAAACATCCAACTGTTACAATTGTGATATCACACATACAGTGAAAACTGATGACTTCATCTAAAAATTTTCTGTTGCTTTTCCTCATGACCTCTGTTTTCTATTCTTCAAATTTGTTTTTCAACAAATGGTAGACATAATAATTCTGGCCAACATTACATCCACAAGTGTTCCAAATATTCTGACCTTATCATGTAACTTCTGAGAACACAAACACAGAAACACCTCTGCATATAATGTGATACAATCCAACACTGCCCTTAACTACTGACTCAATATTTACCATATAATTGAATTTATACATTTATTTAAATTTCACCTAAAAGTGAAATATTACACACGTGTGTGCAGACGTGTTGCATTAAAATGCATACAATTTTACTGGTATACGAAATAAGATGCACATATTCATATCATGCAGTTTGATTTTATACTCAACATGAGTTCCTCTATACTTACACAGTGAAACACAGAACAGGATCAACGCTGTGTGCTTATGATAGGAAACAATATTTTAATGTCTGTTATACATGTGTCAAGATGCAATATGTGTACTATTAGTGTACAACTAGCAAATATTTCCAAACAAAACAAGTATCACCACACTAGCGGACTACAGTGTGAGGCAGGGAGAAGGCCTTTCATCACAGACATAATCACACTGTTCATTTTAGTCTTGTTTTCTAAGTAAATTACTTAAAAGTTTCAACGTCTGTATTTCTGTGCTTACAAAGTGAAGCACAAGGCAGGATCAACTTTTTGTGTATAAGAGAGGAAACAATATTTTAATATGAGATAGAGGACAGACAAACGTACTTTACACTGTTCCCTTATGCCGGAGTCTGGCATGAATTATCATTGGCGGATAGTGTTAGCAATGTCACTAACACTATAGCTAGCATTAATAAAGTTGTGGCAGAGAGCAATAAGTTAGCTGTCTCAACTCCCAGTTACCACTTATACTGCCATACGAATTACTCTATAAACTAACCTTTAGCACTGCATTGCATTACGTTACGTTAGCTCGTTAACAATGGTCCTAAGGAGCTAAGGATCTAATAATTAGCTTGTTAATTAGCTTGCCACAAATAGTTCCGAATTTATCATGTTGGAAGGGTAAAATATTCATTCTTTCCCTTCATCCTGTTGTAGCATGAGTTAATTATGAGCATATTGAGCTCAGTTGTGTTTTTAATAAATCTGCAAAAATGTCAAAAATTCTGTGTTTTTCTGTCAATATGGGGTGCTGTGTGTACATTAATGAGGAAAAAAATGAATTTAAATGCTTTTAGCATATGGCTGCAATATAACAAAGAGTGAAAAATTTAAGGGGGTCTGAATATTTTCCGTACCCACTGTACAATCCAAGCAATGCAGTGATGCACAGTGACACACCAACATTGACACACACACAGAGACACATTGGTCTGCTTTCAAAATAAGTTAAAAATAAGACCCCAAAATACACCAAATTTTCAAAATAATGCCTCTGATTGCAAATTAAAATTTAAATGAAAGCCCCCAAACATGCCAGAATTTCCATATAAAAGCCCCTGAATGCAACTTAAGCTGACATAAAGGCCCCAGAAATGTGCCAGATTTTTACAATAAAAACCCATGTTTCCAAATTTGCCCACATGAGGGTCCAATACCATGTCAGATTTTTAAAATATAAGCTCCAGACTGTAAATTCAGCTCACCCAGAGGCTCAAAAATGTGATGGATTTTCAAAATAACAGCCCAGCTTGCACATTAAGATTACATTAAATCCCCAACATATGCCAGAATTTAAAAAAAAAAGCACAATTATAAATTAAGCTCACATAAGTGCCCCACAACATGCTTGATGTTTAAAATATTTTAAAATCAAAACATTTAGCTGTGGTGTGTCAGCATTTGCAGGGCGATCCTTCAGCGGTCAGCATCCACACACACATTTTTTTTTTTTTTTCAAAAAATGCATTTCTCTATTTCTGTGGCTGGCTTTTTTTTTATTATTCTTGGTTCTTCCATCCATTTTTTGTCACCTAATTTCTTCAGCATATTTTCAGCTAGAATAACCATTCAGGTATCAAAATGTTCAGCTTTTTAAGCACATACTTTACTATTTTTCTTGTTTGTAACATTTATATTTTTCAAAATATTCAGCGTTTTTCACCAAATTTTGCCCTATTCAAATGAATGGGAAAGATTTTCACATTTTAATATCTTCAACATACCTTCAGCTAAGAACACCATTTCAACTAATAACTATTCAGCAATTCTTCAACTATTCATAATGTAAACAGCTTTTTGATATTTTTTATGGCTTTTGCATAATTACTGTTTACATTTTATGTCTCATTTCAATAGACACACCCTAGTATTTCTCAGTGTGTAGGACTACACACTTCTTTCTCATACACATACATACACACAGACAGACAAACACCTTCACACCCACACAACCCTACTTGTTTTAACTACTTTGCAGGGACCAATGGGAAAATTTTCACATCTTAATAAGTTAAGCATACTTTTGGCTAGAAAATCCATTCAGGTATCAAAATGTACAACTCTTCCAGGACATTGTTACTTGTATTTATATTTTTTGTTTTTTATACTTTTTAAAATGTTCAGCTTTTTTTAGCAAATTTTGCCCCATTCAAATGAATTGATAAACTTTTCACATCATATTAGTTTTCACATCAGCTAAAAACACAGTTTCAACAGTTAATTATTCAGGAAGTCTTCAGCTATTAATACTGTAAACAGCTTTTTGATATCTTTTACAGTTTTTGGAATAAGTGATGTTGACATTTTATGTTTCATTTCAATAGCCACACTGTAGTAGTCCTCAGGGTGCAAGACTAGTCTCTCTCTCTCTCTCACACACACACACACACACACACCTACTTGTTTTACCTACTTTGTGTGGCCCAATGGGACAATTTTCACATCTTAATAAGTTCAGCATACTTTCAGCTAGAAAAGCCATTCAGGTATCAAAATGTTCAGCTCTTCAAGGACAGTCCTACTTGTATTTATTGCATCTCATCTTTCAGATTATTCAACACAAAACTTCAACCATTTCTTCTCAACTATTTCAACAAAGAACTTCTCTTCACATCCTTCTGCTGTTTAAGCAATTGAATTCAGGCATTTTCAGGGCGATCCTTCAGCATATCAGCATCCACACGAATTTTTGACAGGAAATGCATTTCTCTAGTTAAATAATAACGTCGAGTTAATGACAGAGTGAAATAGCGACTACTGCTACTAGGACATACAAGACATACAGACAATAAAGACAGAATAATAAAAAGGAGAAGAAGCCAATAATACCACAACAATCACCTCAAGCAAAAGGAAAGAGCAGTAACCCGGACAGTGATTGGAGTTTTTGACTTTTTTGTAAATCCATCTCGGATCCCTCAATATCTTTTGTCTATCCTTTTCCCTATGAAAGAAAAAGAATGTGAGAGAACAGAATAAACAAGCAGTCATCTAAAATATGACTCTGGCTGTTTGTATTTATTAAATACATTATTGATACTTAGTAAATCAATACATTAGCTTTTTAGGAGCTCTAGATAAGAATATTAATGGTAATGTTGTGTCTGTTCACTTCGGCCGCCAGCCTGTTAGCTTAGCTTAGCATGAAAGACTAGAGGTGAGGGGGAAGAGTTAGCCTGGCTCTGCCCAAAGACAACACAATCTGCCTAGCAGCACCTCTAAAGTTGGAGTCATGAACCTGTTACATTTACAGACAGTTCTGGAATGGGTTGAACTTTGATGGTGTGGTGGGTGGGTTTTATTGCCTTCAGACACAGCCATAGTTGTTCCCCCCCCTTACTTTCTCATTGTATACCATTGTAGATGAAAGTCGCCCTTCTAAAGTATTCAGCATTGCAGCACTTTCTATTTCTTCCTGGTTGGTTATATTGATTTTTATTGATCTGGTGTTAGAATTGATTTGGTACATTTGACTTTCCTTCATTTGGTTCTTAACCAGTATGCTTGCAGGTATATTTTCTCGTGTCATGTCACTGGCATTTGTCATCTTTTTGCTCTCACATTGTCCACTCCTAAACATTCACTTTTCACATTTCAGTCCACTTGCTGCAGGGATAGGAATAGTAACAACTGACCACCTTGCTTTATACAGCTGACCACTGAGAACCTTTCTGTAAAAGGATTCATTGATAATAATAGTGTATTTGTTGCACATATTAATAAAAAAATTACAATGTCATTTTTGAACAACACTGTTTGTGCACCATTACTTGACATTTATGAATTATAAAGCTGCTGAGTAGCAAAATAAATAGAATAAAACCAAGGTTCTTTCCATTTTCTCCTTCTCCTTAGGTGTTATTATGAAAATATCTTTTGTGCCATGTTAACAGCTCAACCATTAACTGAAGAGGGTACAGACCTGTTCTGCTGGACAAACACAGACGGAGACCTCTGAGACTCTGGCAGAGTTGTCACTACCTCTTGAATTAGACATGGGAAAAGTTTTTTATGTTAGTCAAAATAAGTGCCTCGGGATTCTTATAGCAGCGGTCGGTGCTTTGGCCATGATTATAGCGCTGTCTATTGCCTATGACAAGGAAAAGGCCAAGAATCAAGGCAGGCCTGGAGACAGAGCCACAGACAGTACCAGCATGCCCACACACCCTACTACTGAGTTCACCCCAAAGGAGCCCTGGGACCACTACAGACTTCCAGACTCCCTTGTTCCTGTCTCTTACAATTTGACCTTGTGGCCCTGGCTGGAGCCTAACACAGACGGCCTGTACATCTTCACCGGAAATTCAACCGTGGTCTTCAGATGTGTGAAGGAAACAGACCTCATTATTATCCACTCCACCAAACTGAACTTCACCACCTTTCATGGACACCATGCTAAGCTGAGTGGCCTGAGTAAAGCCACTGTGCCCACTATACAAAAGTCTTGGCTTGTGGCGAAGACAGAGTATCTGGTTCTTCAGCTGCATAGAAGACTAGCGGTGGGAGCAACCTATTTACTCCACACTGAATTTCAGGGGGAGCTGGCAGATGATCTGGCAGGCTTGTACAGGAGTGAATACACTGAGGGTGGTATGAAAAAGTAAGCAATGACATAGCATAGCATAATTGTACACCATCTTTCTGCTCTTGATAGTAAGAGTTCATTTTCATGGTTACAGTGTTCCTACTGATGAGACTTGAAAGTTTTTGCCTTGGTTGATGTCTGGTCTGAGCTAATGTTTAATTGAAACATCTTGCAGAATTTTGGCTACTTCGCAGATGCAAGCAACGCACGCCAGGAAAACCTTCCCTTGCTTTGATGAGCCAGCCATGAAAGCCGTCTTCAACGTCATCATCATCCACAACCGAGGAACAGTGGCTCTGTCCAATGGCAGGGAAATTGGTTCGTTCTAGAAATGCAAACTGGGCCAGTACAAAATCAAATATTTTTAATTAACAGTAATACAAACACCACTGGGCTTTATTGCAACAAAGAGCAATGTTTGTGTTTTTTGTATGGCAAAAATGATTTTCAAAGCAAAAGACAAACATTTTGTGGGAGTTTCTAAATAATAAATCAAATGTTATGAGAAAATCAGTAATACTGTGAATGCTAACAGAGTTAATTCTTCTTCTCCCTGTGCAGACACTGCAGATTCTTTCATTGATGGTGTTCCTGTGAAAGTAACTACATTTGAGCCCACAGCAAGAATGTCCACATATCTACTGGCATTTATTGTCAGTGACTTTGTTAGCATTCATTCAAACAAAAACAAGAATTTGTTGGTAAGATTTTTTTTTTATTTGTACATATTTGTTCATACTTTCATATACAGTAGTTTCATACTTGTTGAGGCCAGCATACAAACAGCATTAGGGTCTTAGAACACAAGCAGTACAAACAACCAATATTAAAGAGGCAAGGGCCAGCAGTCACATCATACATGTCACTGTATATTTCTGCAGAATTAAATGAACAATCTTTCGGACAGTGAAGGTTTTCTCTCCCTCTCTCTTTTTAAATTCACTGTTGTGGACTACAAGCTTTCAATTTCTTTGCAGATTCGAATCTGGGCTCGAAAAAAAGCCATAGATGGCATGCAGGGTGACTATGCTCTCAATGTTACAGGGCTGATCCTTCAGTTCTATGAGCGCTACTACAATGCAACATATCCACTCTCCAAGTCTGGTAAGCTACCTCAGCATCAACATGCTGTGGCAACCATTTTCCTGTGAAGAGTATTTAGAAGAGCTAATCATAAGTACAGATCACAAACAATAAAAGGAACCAGTGCTAGTGAATGAAAACATTAGCAGTTCTATGTGGCTTTACTAACTCTGGGTAAATGCTATTAGATAAATGCATTTGCACAATGACAATGCTTCTCATGCACAGTAGGTATCATGCTTCATGTTTACCATAGCCAATGTGTTAGCATGCTAACTTGTTCCAGTTAGCAAGAAACACAAAGTTCAGCTGAGGCCAGTGGCATAGTACAAAAATCTGGGCTCAGCACAATGTGGCCTCAGTGACCCCCCCTACACAAGCATGAATCCACAAATAAACACATTTATCTTTAGTGATTGTTATGGTAACCAGAATTAACATGTTACACATACATTTTCAAAAAAAGTCTGTGGAATCATTACCTTGGCATATTTCACATCCCTCTGTTTTCAACATACATTAATCACTGTGTGGAGCTTTTACTATGAAATTTTAGATGCTCATACTCTGGGTATATGACAAAGTTGGAAAGCCATCTGACTCTGGCTCCTACATTGAGAAAGAATTACTGTATTTGTGTGGATGCTGATTCAGCATCCATACTATGTTTCCCAATCATTTATTGTGTGGATGCTAATTCAGCATCCACACTATTGTTATCCTGGTCTTTATTGTGTGGATGCTGATTCAGTTCATTAGTTGATTAAACAGTTCAGCATACTTTCAGATAGAAAAACCATTTGACTTTTGAGCAATTCAGCATCTCTTTAGCTATTCAGGGCTGTATTCAGTTTTTTGATACCTTTTACAGATTTGAATTCCCACAGTTTACTTTTGAGGATGATTTTGGACATTTCTCTGTTAGTGTGTCACATGACTCGCAGCTCTGTCCTTTGGCTTTTTCACAATTTTTCAGCTTTTTTCTACTCTTATTCTGCCTACCTTAAGCTTTCACACACAAATTATACATGAAAACAGTAGAGAAAATTGAGGAATCAGAAAATGCCCTTGTTATTGTGATAGGATGAACGGTGTTTGAATGATGTGGCACGTTCCAGAGAGTGCTGCCTCACTCTCCCATAAACAGCCATTGAAAAAAAACTATTCAGAAAATCCACTCAAAGCAAAAGTTAGGACATTTGTAAATCACCACAGCTTCTTCATTTTGTGGAATATCTTGACATAAACGTGAACAACATGCTCGTTGAAACCTCCTGCCACTCATAGTGAAGAGATTTTTTCAATAGGACTTATAGTTTTTTTTGATTGTCAATTATTCAAGGCTGTTATGGCAAAAATGGTCTTATCAGGATTCGGTGAATGCAAAATGAAACTTGATACCAATTCTGGAGGTTGATGTGCATTTATAGTCCTGCAGGAAGGAGTGAACTCTCACAGAGTGTCAAACATAACAGTTTGAAGGAGAAGCTCTTAAACATAGACATATGTATGTAGGTTTAAGGAAACGTCTGTCACACAGAAAAGAAGCTGTCTGGTTTAACATCCATACAAGGTCATGCTTTTCATTAAAGACACTTTGACACAGAGGTTTGTCTGGTTTCACAAGCACACAAATAACTATATATAAAAACTGCATAGCAACAATCAGTATGTTAATAAGGCAATATATTAATAAGGACAGTTTTCCATCACAAAGGCTCATGTCTGACTGAAATCTGCTGTAGTGTCCTCAAACTTCTGAGTCATTTAATGATGCACCTGCTACTTTTACACACACAAACAGCAACAGAATAACATGCACACACAAAATAAAATCCAAACATATACAATAAAAGCAATACAGTGATGCACAGTAACACACACAGAAGGAGAGAGGCAAAGTGACACACACACACACACACACACACACACACACACACACACAGGTTGGTCTGCATTCAAAATAAGAGCCCTGCAATATTCAAAGCTCTGAGCTTTCCTCCTTGTTACTGTCAGTTTGTCCTGTCCTAGCAGGACACATCACACAGCACCATCAGTCAGACCAGCACAGGCTGGAATGTGCTTGCGGTGGAAAGTTGTTGTCAGGATTTTACAAAACCACTCTGAAGCATACTGCATATTAAATATAAGGGCCCCAGATTAGAAATTGGTGTAACATGAGTGTTCTGTAGGATGTCAGATTTTCAAAATAAAAGCCCCAGAATACAAAATAAGCTCACACAAAGGCCCCAAAATGTGCCTGATTTTCAAAATAAAAGCCCCTGATTACAAATTAAGCTCACATGAAGGCCGCAACACATGCTGGATTTTCAAAATAAAAGCCCCTGTTTACCAATTAAGATCACACGAGGCCCCAAAATATGCCTGACTTTCAAAATAAAAGCCACTGATTACAAATTAAGCTCACATGAATGCCCCAAAATGTGCCTGACTTTCAAAATAAAAGCCCCTGATTACAGATTGCGCTCACATGCTCACAGAATTTTTCTAAGCTTCATAGTTTTTAAAATATTTAGCTTTATTCTGAAAATTTAGCTCATTTCAAATGAATAGGAAATTCTACTTCTGCATACTTCAATATGCAAGATAGGACTTATACTTTTTCTTCTATTGTCAATTGTTGAGCAGGAGTTTTTTGAATGCGGTGACATTGCAGCGGGTGTGCTCATAGCAAACAGCTGTTCATTCAAACACAGAGAACTCGCTCTGCTGACTATCTACTGCTTAATGCCTTTTATCCAAACATACTGGACTTTTCTAAACAAGCCTGACCGAAGAAGGATTATATCAGAACCAAACTGTCATGAGGTAAGCCTCCAGCCGGCCGTGATCTCTCTCTCCCTCTGCTCCAACCGCAGTATCTTTGTCAGTACTAGCTCATTCACTATTTCTACCATCATTTCAAATACTTTTGACAGTACTAGTGGCCAGAACTGGGTTATATGATCTAATTTACTTATACTGAAGAAAGGAGCTGCAGCATTGTGAACCATCTCAAGGTGAGAGAGGGGTGACTTAGTAACTTCTTCTGGAAGAAGGTTGACTTCGCAGCTGAGTTGATCTGCTTATCCACTATCAACTCACTATGAAATGTCATTCTTTAAGTTTTAAAGCTATTACAACTTTCTGCTGGTTCACCTTTTGCTGTATGCTGAAAGTCATTCATCCTCTAGCAAAGCAAAGTTTATCAACATGATAACATTAATACAAATGTGCATAAAGGAGACTGACACCATGTCTCTCAGCATATCAATTCATGACCATGTCACTTCTTTCGATATGTCCATCACACAGCATTACACCAGTCACATCAGACTCCTTGTCCACGTTGGCATAAACCTGCCGATAATGTCGAGGGTGAAGTCAGTTATAAGGCCAGATAGGTAAAAGTTTTTTAATAAGAGCACTGGTCACAAAACAGAGGTGGGTAGAGTAGCCAAAAATTGTACTCAAGTAAGAGTAGCTGTACTTCAAAATAACATTACTCAAGTAGGAGTAGTCATTCAAAATATTACTCGAGTAAAAAGGTATTCGGTGAAAAGACTACTCATGTACTGAGTAATTGTTTCATAGTAATGTCTGATTGATTTTTGTAGAAATCATGTAAGCAGCCAGACAAAATGATACACTGTACAAATTCTGGCATTTCCAAATAATAAAATGAAATAAATAAAATAAACGAGTAAAAATAAATATCTTTACAAAATAGCAAATTAAGGAACAAGAAACACAAATTTCCTAATCTCACTTTTTCACAACATAACTTTCAAAACAAATACCTACATGTATGTTTGAACAGCGTAAACTATTTCCAGTGCAAGATATTTTGTATATTCAGTTGCCCTCCAAATGGCACAGCAGGCTCAACAGATTTTTTTTTACCATAAACTATGTAGGTGCATGTCTGTGTCTCTGCATGTTTAGCTAAAACATGCTTGTTCTTCACTCAGTAAAGTAACGGTTAAGCTTCAGAAGTAGTTGGCTCTCAAGGTTCTTGCAGTGAAGCTGTGATCGTTTAGCAGTGAACAGGAGCCCTGCATGACTAAAAAGTCTTTTGCAGGCTGCAGATGCAGGAAGACCTGTGTTAACTTTGAGTGACAACTTCTTGATGTGAGGAGAGGTATGCAATAGATCAATACCTCTGGTGGATGGACATGAAAGGTACTTCTCCAGCTCTCCTGCTTCTGGTTTTCCTGACCCCATGGTTCCAAAAGAAGTCATCTTCATCAGAGAGGCTGCTATTTGTGCTGACATCATCCAACTCTGTGTCTAGGTGATGTCTGATGAATTCCAGGCCTGTGGAAAGATAAATGGTTTTCAAAAGAATTAATTATTCTTATTCTTCTACTGTATAGGCTGCCAAGCTGCTGATGTTTGACATGAAAAGTTTCCTGAGCTTCAAACTTTTGCCACCCTGTGGCATTGACACACTGTACTCCTAAATGACAGTAACATTATAAAGATTCATGTATGTCAGTGTCCACTAGCTCATAATTCATAAACATAATCACATTTACCAGCTTTTAAGATGCTCTCCTCTGTGGTCCAGGATGTTCTGAATCTTGGCAGGAGTATTGCTGCTGCAATCAGCTCTTTCATGACATGTCCAAAATGTTTCTGGAGAGCAGAGTGCCTCTCTAGAGAGGTGTCATCTATCCAGTGACAGGTGACTCCTAAATAGTTATGTTGTGTGGCAGACCAGCAGTCTGCTGTGGTGGCGACATACGTAGTTCACAGTGCTCAGCTTTTTGATGATTATGGTCTTCATCTTTTTTGCAGCTTCCTGTATTTTTGAGCATAACATTTTCCTTGTTGTTACTTTACACTGAGGTTGCATGGTTTTCATCATAGTTTTGAAGGACGTTGTCTCCACAACAAAAAATGGTTGGTTGGCCTCACATACAAATGTTAGCACAAGCTTGTCAAATGTTGCCTGTGTTACCCGCTGAGAGCCAGTGAGGGAATCTGTGAGTTTTGCCTTCCTCATAGGTGGTTCAGTA